TATCCTCTTCTTGTTGGACTTGATTTGTAATAGCAGATCATTATTTCTTTATTTTCAGTCTTTGTATATTTGCGATGGATAAACAACTTTCCTTCCAGTAGTCCTGCAGCTGCTGACCCTGGTTGCTCAGCCAACAGTCCTGAGTCCACTTGTCACCAGATGTCCAGGAACTAGAACACCTAGCACAGTCCATGTTGATCTGGGCAACGACCGATCTGGGATAGGTTTCTGTAAATTACATCTCACCATATTGTTGATAGGAGAGACAGTCTTCATCTGGCTCCTCTGATGAATCCTGTCTACTATGCCTGAACCTCTGGCATAGCTGTCATCCTCCTTACTTTCCTGACTTTATTTTGTACAACTCAAGGCATCATACATAATGTTTCCTCCTCCTTTTTTCCACACAACAACAAAACTGCGAGGTGGGCTGGGATGAGAGAGAGTGACTATCTCAAAGTCATCCAGCCGGCTTCCATGCCTAAGGGAGGATTAGAATTCACCATCTTCCTGTTTCTAGCCCAGCACCTTGACTGCTACACCAAACTGCCACTGGTTGGAAATCCTGTATCTGCTGACTCAAGTAATTTCTACTGAAATTTCTACTATTTCCTCTTAACCAGCAATTTTTGTTAAAGTTATTGTAATTATCAAATAGTGTATAAAACTACTTAATAAATACTTAATTTGGAAAACTTTTCTTTGGTACAAAATTTGGTTTTAAAGGCTTATAAAAATGGAGGTGGGAAGTCTTATATAAATACAACTACAATTATTTTCTTATGTGCTGATAAATATGAACTCCCACAATCTTAATGACAAAAACATAGGAAGGGGGTATTTTTGGGTGGTCCTCACATTGCAGAAAGTCTGCAGAATACTTTTATAAGCTTTTGTATTCTTCTACTGCAGGGCTTCCTTATTTCTTCTGTCATAAAGCCAAATAAAACGTATTAACCAGAAAAATGTGCTACCATTTAAAATTTATAGTTTAAAAAATCCCTTAAGAGACAAAAGAATAGCATATAGCTATGTGAAAAAAGAACCAACCTTCTCTAGAAATAAAAACAAGATATAAAGCCATGCTGTTGAGTTCTCTTCACACTTCCGCTAAGGTGTTCTATGAGTATTGATCCAACAGTTATATTAAACCTCACAATTATCATTATTTCAGTTTGACACAATCATTTGGTAAAGATATTTGCAACAGAGGGATGACTGCCTACATCTATTAAAAGGCGGACTAGAAAAAAAATGAAGACCAGGGCTTTGAAATTATCTTAAGGCTTCTGAAGTACAGGTAGTCCCCAGTTTAAGAATGAGTTCTGTTCCCAAGGTCTGTCCTTAAGTC